GACATAGAGGCAAGGCAGGGAGTGTTGAAAACAGATACGGTTTGAGGACTTTTGAAGTGGAAAATGGCAAACAGATGCTATAGATACTGCACATCAATATCAATACAATACAATATAATAGTTCAAATGTAGGGAGCTTCAACAACTACTTGATGGGCTGCCTGAATGGTCATGCTGTTTTTGTTTCTATTGTGAGTTGTTGCAATAAACAGCAGTACAAAAGTAACCACACACTAGTTAGTCAAGATAACAAAACACAAAAATGGAACAAAAAAATCCTAGAGACACTTTAGCAGATATGCATCAAGCAAATATTCCCACTGACGTGTACACTTAAAAATCTGTGCTTTTTGTTCTTGATTGTAAAGTACATAGCTTCAAAGAACATGTTTGGCCCTTGAAAGATATTTTCATCATCTAATGTAGAAATTATATTATGTAAGCGAACTTCGGAGCTTTGCCCAAAGCTTTACTCCATGGCCTTTTGTGGCTATCATTGTCTTTCACATGATATTTACATATGTTTGTTATATAAGAAGCATATATTTACGTTGTTACGGCATTTGTTTGCCAAAAGAATCCTTCTCCCGCGCCTGTTCCTGCGCCCTGAGGGACCAAATATCCAACATCTAATGGGTACAAGCTTTTTGTGCAATTGAAGGGACATACCTCGGCAATAAATGCCATTTCCATATTGCAGGATGGCACTCTCCTGGCCAGCGGAGCTAAGAATATTTTATTCCTCCAGATTGTATCCCTGATATTCTTCAAGGCTTGGACGGACTCAAGATTTGGGACTTAGAGATGGAGTGAGAGGTCATCAATTTGGTCCCTCCATGGACTGCTATCACCATGTGAGGGCCTGTTACTTGTGTAATATGGGCATTGCCTGCTGAGGATTCATATGAAACCCTTATTTGTGGAACGGGGTTGGGATATTTAATTTTTTGGCGCCAAGAGTCACAATGAGTAAGTGAAGTGATCTAAATAATGATGTTAAGAGTTCATCTAGTGACATTTTGATAGGGATACTTTGCATGAAGAGGCTGGGAAGTGGGGGCCAGATCACTTGTACTGTTGCAAAGTAAAACAATAAAACGGGTGTAAAAATTGCGGTAGGGACACGTGAACACATGATACAGATTTTAACCTGGAATAACAATCAAATCAATTCTGTGTTTGCTAGCAAGCTGGAAAGCATTGTACCAGTATGTGCTGGTTTCATCAACAGCCAAAACAAGGATCTTGAGGTGTTTGGGTTATTTGATGGTGCCGTGTAAGTCTCTAGCACCTTCCATGGAGGTCCACCCTAAACTCTACAGTCTTTACCTTAAAAGTGACAACAGAAGTGTGAAAATGATGTTAATGTTAGATAGACTGATGTGAGTAGTAAGACTGCCAGGATTACTACATGCTGATAAGTCTTCAAAGGAAGTGTGGCCATAAACCGATGGAACACCTACACTGTCACTGACAATGCTCAGAATGGGTTCTATCTACAACAACTCAAAATTAGTGTATATATTGGAGACTACGTCACACAGGTACTAAAGAGAATCTTTTCTAAACAAGTAGGATATGCAGAAGAAATACTGGTTGTTGGGGGTAGTGATCATGGTGTTGTTTACTTATTTGACAAGAGAAGAGCAGACATCTTGGGAATACTTAAACACGGAAGAAGCAAGATGGTGCAAACCATTGCGGCAAGGCAGTCAACAAAAATGATGATATCAGTACTAATGTACCTTTTCCACAGACTTGAGACCTTGCAGATAGGACACAAATTGTTAGCGCATCATCCAGTAAACAAGGAAGTGCAACAATCTGTGTATGGGTAAAAACCCAGGGAAAAGCCGCCTCAAATAAATGCAAATAAGATATGCGTTTTGGGCCAGTATTACTCTAAGCCATTATTATTGTCATACTAACCACAACATTGTATCAACTCCTACAACACAAAGTGAGTAATATTCACTACAACCAATGGCCATGATATGTTCCTACTAAGCTGATTTTACACAATGTATAGGAGACTAGGGACAGAAATTGGGTTCTGGATTTCAAGCAACTTGACTTCCAGGCTCCAGGTGGAAACAAAGGAGTGATATCCTGGTTAATATTGCCATATAATTGTGTAAAGGTATGGATTACATCGCTAGGAAGAGATGCCCACCTCCAGCAACAAAAAAAAGGATGAATACTGCAAAAAGAAAATACAATTGAGACAATTCCCTCGGTAACAACAAAGCATAGATAGACTCCATTAAAGATATGCTGGAAAGGATAGCAGGAGGAATACCACTGGATGAGATGCCCATAACAAAGGGTGGTGAAGGCAAAAAAGCAATAAAAGAAAGGAAAAATAAGTATGAGAGGAATGTGCAAAAGATGGGACAAAATGTAGAAAAGGAAAGAGGAACAATTTTCTTATGACTGGTATTCCTATGAACATTATATCACAGTCTGCAGTACAGAAGCTTGCTTGGTTGAAATAAACGAACAGTAGTAAAGACAAGCCATAGCAGCAGCATTATCAGAAAAACATGATTTTACTATAACTGGATATACTTGGATGTAATTGGGTAATAGACCAAATATAGCATCTGTGGCAAATAGTGCACTATATATTGGTATAGAACCCACTGTGCTGCATTTATAGTACTATTATTGCAATTAAAGCAATCCAAAGCCAACTAGATCAGCTCAAAGTAATTAATAGTTTAATCATAGGATTCAAGTGATTATACTACAACAAATGAGGATCTAACTTGTGGTACTTATATTGCATGCCAAAATCAGCAATACCTAGCAAAACCAATGTGTGAGCTGGAATCACAAAAAGTATCAGTACAGGTCTGTAAGTCTAGTTAGTGTCTTGTATCTAGCACCTCAGTGACCGCTCTTGAAGGAATTCAGGCTCCGCTCAAATATGTTCCCACGCTTCAAGCCAGCCACTTTGCTCACAATATGACAGGCTTGCTTGCTCAATGCGCGGGATAATATTTGAGCGGAGCCTGAATGCCTTCAAGAGTGGTCAAAGTTGTCTATTATACTACTGAGGCTCTCTGCAGTGCTTCATGAACTGTGGGAAGGCGGGAGTGTCCTGGCCTGACACTCCCACCCTCTGCCCCTGCTTGTCAAAGTGTGGGAATATATTGATGGCATGTATAATATATCCACCAGGCCCAGGGCCTTTGGTTATCTATAAAATTGCAAATTTTCTCCACAATGGACGCTGCAGTCTCAACTGCCATGTCCCAACTACAAACTAGGTAAATATAATTTTCCCACATACAAGGCGCCAACTGGCCACTGTTGATAGAGATTATTGCAAGTTTTTGGCTTGAACTGGAGGATTGTGTCAGGCTGTTATGTAGTTGAGGTAAGGCTCCAGAATATTGTTTGGCTGATACTGCTAAAATTCCAGGTGAGTATGATATATTAGTAATTTGTGTCTTTGTGTCCTTCTATCACATTAATAGTACTGACAATGGTACGTCCTCAGCATGTCTGATCCATTTGAAAGGCTTTAGTTGTGTAAATCTGTAACATGAGGTTGCAGAAACATATATTTGAAGGCAGGCATTGTAGCCTCACAGGTGAGTAGACAGGAGCACAAAAAATCCCACTTGCTGTTTTGATGGTGCGAGTGTCCTGGCCCCCCGCCACACAACACCGAGGCCATGAGAAACTTTCCTCTAGTCATGCACAACAACAGTCTCCATAGTATTTCTTTCTTTGGGTCAAAATGAACTGGAGCTTATACTTTGCTTTAATATTAGCTAGAATTAATTTTTCCTGTTTTAAGCAATGTTGTACAATTGCCAAATAGCCATCTGTCTATATGTGTTTGTGGGTCCATATTGGGTTTGTTTATTGTATTTATGCTTTTTTTATCAGTCTATGTGTCAAGCCTTTGTGTCTTGCTTCCTTTTTGGCTGTTTCTTGCTTTTTTATGAGCTGTTCTTTTCCTTGTAATTGTCTACATTGTTTAACATCTCATCAAGATGACTAGGGTTATGCAACCATGGAAAAATGACATCTTCAGGATGCTCTTTCAAAGTCAGTGGTGGGGACCTAAAGGTGAAGGAAGGAAATATGGTAAAAAAAAACAATCCATATCTCCATAACCCCCTTGCACTTGATGGAATGGTAGAATTTTCTGAGAATTCATTTGCTCCAAGGTACGGTACCATTTGTTTTCTGGTTATTTCATATATATATCTCATTTAATTCATAGATGGGAGCCTTATTTGAATCTAATTCAAGAGTCCAGGGAACAGTCCCTAACATATCTGGCAAGTGTATTTGGTGATATTGAAGAGTTTGTATGGTGAATTAATCACTCTAATTTTTTTAGGTGCTGATGAGTATGGCAAAGGCCCTGTTGAGGATGTGGCAATGCTGTCAACAGAAACAGTCGCAGTGGAGGGAGCTTCTGAATCAGCAGATAGGTTAGATTGCTGACTGCCCATGAAAGATACAGAGAGGCATGGAAATCAAAGGAGCACTATCAATCAAGTCATACAAATTGCTTATAAATGAGAGAGTGAATCAGGATTGGTACATAACAGGTATAAAAGTTCCAGGATGAAAAAAACTTCAAAGTCAAAATGGAAACCTGGAACCTCTGGGTCCAGGAACAACAACAACATTAAACAAATATTTTTATCAATATCTCTGATATTGTTTGGAGAAACATACTAAAAAACAAAGTCTCTATTTTTTTAAGCGTTTTTCAGACATTTTACCACAAAACATGGGATTTTGCCCCCAGTGTATGTACCAACATTTTGTTGCTTCTCACTGGGGCTCAAGATTGATGCTCAGAAGCAAGGAGGAGAATAGGGTTAGAGATGCGGCCCAAGCTGACGACTTCCCTAGCTCCCTGATTGCCAATTCACCAGGAACTGCCCTGACAGTCTTTCCAGTCTACCTTCCCTATTTCTCGAAAGGTCCGAGGTTTAGGTCTCAGGCGTTCCATTGAGTGCAGACTATTTACCACTCGAGAGTATGGTTATCATTCCTATATAAGGTTGTATTTCCCTATCAGAATACCTCTTGAGAATACCGACTTGCACCCAATATCTATCTCAATACCAAAAGACAACACACATATTACACACTACACATAATACCAAGTCCTGAATCTAAAAATTAGAGTAGCACAATAACTACGACCAGCTAGGACGCGAAGAGCCACTGTGATGGGGTGGATATGGATGATTGGGTATGAATGGCTGGTGAATAGCATTGGCAGCATCTCGAGGAGTGATAGGAGAGGTAGGAACGTAAGGCCTATATATTCCCTCGTCAGCCACATTGCCATAGGGAGGAGGACCATATCGAATAGAAGTGAATTTTGTTATTGGAGGGTTATTGGGTATAGATGATGTATGAGAGGGAGATGGTAAAGTATTCGATTGATTGGTACTGCTAACAGTGCATGTGATGCCTGATGCTTTCGATGTTTCCCCTTTGTGACCAATGGTTGGTACTGTAACTGGCGAGACAGAATTTACCCGGGATTTCTTCCAAATTTGCTCTGTGGGTGATAGTACTCCAGCGTCGTGGGCTTTACGCTTTGCAGGTTTCTTTGACAGCTTAGTTTCTTCGTCATCAGAATCCAGTGTGAGGTCGATTATTTCTCCCGCGTTAGCTCTTGAGCTCTTCGCTGTGACTAGAGAAGCTGAACGAGGAATAGAAAATGAAGAAGTGCTGCCATGTGAAAGTGACAATTCTCTCTTCACCCTACCCTCATCCTCGTCGTCAGAGTCTAAAATCAAGATCTGCACATCAGATTTAGTTATTGGCTTCATGGAAGTGTCTTCCGCATGCCGATCTACAGCAGGGTTGCCACCTTGAGATCGGAAAGTGGGTGGTGGATCTGAAAATGGGGGCGGATGTGAAGCTCTCCAAACAGCAGACGAGTAGTTATTGTCTGCGGTGTGCCACTGCCCATCGGACTCTATGATTACATCTTCGACATTCTGCGGGGTGTCTTTGAGGATTTGGTCGAAGTAACTAACAAAGGTCAGGCCTCGCAATTAGCGAAGTAGATAGCACATAGGCAAAACGCGTAGACAAACCCATCGATAATGAGATCCTCATGGTTGAGAACTTTCTCGCACACAGGACACAACCATGTCGTAGTCTGTTCCATTACAGAAAACCAGGACGTCGCATCAAAACACTGTGGATGGACGCACAGCACAGATCGGCAAGGCGATACAATACGCATAAAGCTCAGCTATCAAGAATATAAGAAGTCAGATAAACTCCAAAAATTGATTAGATGACAGACCGGACACTTGAGTGACAACTTCTGCAGCCCTGCTATAATATCATCATCTTCGGAAGATGTATCCGTCACTGTCCCAAATTCATTCATTTTAGTAGACATTCGCAATCAACGAAAGGCTATCCCATACGTTTTTTCAGTACCTCTTCCTTATTATAATATTTCCCTTTGTTTAATCTCTCTACTAGTTGGCCAACTGTAGTAACTTCCACGAGCATAACAACAAGATAAAATTTCTACCAAGGTTTGGGAGAATTCAATAAAAAGCCTGCTAAGGTTAACTGACATGTATACCTTCGGCTGTGCAGGCTGTTGGCTATTGACATAGACCATCTCCAAACGGTTTTGGCCAACAGTTCTTACAGCGTTACCAAGATCAGCAGGTGGAGCCGTGCCTGGTTTTTTCTTCAAGCCTTTCAAGCCTGATTGCAATTGGACATTGTTGACGCGAACTTCACAGGTAGGAGGAAATTCGATGGGGCAAGGGCCACGTAAGCCGCTGTGGGCTGGTGAATAGAACGTAGAGGATGTGCAATAAAGGCGTAGTTGATACTTCGGGCTGATCCGGTGTGAGATAGATAATATACGTCTACAGGTCGCGCTTACCTCAAAGAGCCTATCTTTTGCAATTGTTCACTATTGAGCGTGAAGGTTAAACTTTGCTGTTTACGATCCGTTGAACTGGTGGATTCTGTGGGACTTTATAATCAACAGTGTCATGATCGCCTACAGCATTGGCTACGCACCGGGACATTCAGCAATGTTAGAAACAGCTTGATCCACTCGGAAAAAAGGCGACGGCTTGAAGCGTACGGCTGAATTAAAGATGAGACAGTCCACACACAAAGCGCCTCATATAATTTCTTACCTGGATTTGATAAATTTGATGGAGGTAGAATAGAAGATGGCAATGCCTTTCCAGGAGCAGCATAAGAATTGTAGCGACCAATATTACATGGGCCTGGAGCTACAGGTTGAAATCCATTTGATCTCGCACTACTGGATGAAGAAGGATAGGGTGGGTGTTGAATTGGGGGCAACGCCTGTACGTTGACAGTTCCGGGCATTCTGGCGGGAGCGTAACTATATACGAACGATCAGCTCAAATCCACTAGCCAGGAGAGTTATTGCGTGAGATGTTATTGGTATTGACAATATACTTGCATGTATCACTTGTCTCCAAACTCGATCGAACCAGACAAATGTAAGCCACTCACACTCCTGTGCTGCGCACCTGTAGAAGAACAGCTTTCGCCTTCGTCCATCTGTCTGCATTGTTTGCCTGCCTCCAAATATCTAACTGGGTAGTAATCCTATCGATAAGCTCTTGTTTCTTCCCAGATTTGGAAAAGATAGTAAAACACTCTTCGTTGAATCCGACAAGAATTTGCTTTAGTCTGTCCACAGTGTTCTGCTTCACATTATGCCGGAAGTTCTGTCAGTTGAAGGTCAGATATTAGTTCAATATTAGGTACAGATGGCCTACTTCAAAGTCAGCCCAGCAGTCTGCAACGGCCATGAGAATGTCCAGTGAGATAATTGTATTTTGACTACTGTCTGGTTCGCTGCCCTAAGCTGTGGCAAAAAGGGTGCTGAAGTTAGACGCTCTGCCACTACACATAACTGCAAACAACCTGTAAACCCAAGAAAAATTGGTCACAGTAAAGGAAGGTTAGCCGTGGCCGGAGGCCACGCCAGGCGCATGTAATAGGTGCCAGGGGTCCTCTACTAGAGTCTAATCAGTTGCATTACAGGTCATATCCTCATATATGTAGTTGAATGTGTAACTACAATATAGCATGGCCCTCCGGGCAACCCTGGTCCTGGCCAACCACAATCATAGTGGCACATGTTGTAGCATGACTTATAAATTGTACAGTAGGTGCAGAGTCTTAGGTCTTTGACACACAGGACATTTTCCTTGCCGCTCGAGGGGAAGTGATGCCCCCTTCAGCGTTGAAGTGATAGAGGCACCCAGGGGAAGTAGTGCCCCCTGTGGGTCTTATAATGTTTGATGATGACCACAGGGGGAATAAAAGGAGGGGGAGTGTGAGAATAGATGAGGTGTGTGTGGCAGGACAATGAAAACTCAAAGTGCACACGTGTCAAGTTCGGAAAGTCAAAGTGGCAGACTGGGGCTAAAACCAATATTGATATCTGATTGTGAGACCTGGTAACCTACAGTACCAGGAATAGAACAGTTGGAGTATCATAATATGTACATTAAGTAATAGATTCATTTTGGCATTATGTGTGAAATACAGTAAGGTAATCAAGGTAATGTCCAAGTACATGTAGTGACTGTAGTATGCTTCTAATAGTGTGGATACAGTATTTATGTTTCTTCCAGTAGTATATAAGGAAAGTCATCTGCAACAGCTATTTACTTCTGTTTGTGTGTTTGTGCCTTGAGTCATCAATATAACATTCATAACTGAAGCTTGTCCGTGTTACGATTTTCATTGGACATTTAAGGACTACTCATTTCTCTTTACTCATCGGTTATACCATCGGACCGATGACTCGTTTCCTTCACATACACTCCCGTTCTTCTCGTATTTGTATTATCTATTATAGTACTTAGTCCTCAATGGACGGACCTGCCCTAGATAGGACCTAAGTCCTATCACTGATTCTTTCCATTATAAATACACATGTAACAGTAGTAGTATTCTCTAATACAATTTTATGCAGTTTACGCTTACAAAGCTAGACTCCTAAGATCAGACTTCTACTCAGAAGAAGACCAACTCTTGTTGGAAGAACTCAACTCAGAACTACATTCTTGAACTTGTCTTCGGATAAGTCTCCCTTGAAACCTCGACGAACCCTCAGACTTTGTTAAGCACTTTGTGCATAACAAAAGAATCGTATTCTAATCAGAAGTCCCACCTATTTAGGTTTGGGAAGAAAAAGTCGACAAGACGTCGCAACGACCAACAACCAGATCCCAGAGAGCAAGAGGAAGCTCAGACAACCCACAAACAGCAACCCCACCAACGTCATCCCGACAAGAAAGGATAGCAGCTCCACCTCCCTTTTCCCAACCAGACGTAACCCAACTCCACACCAGAGAACAAGCAGACGTTTTCTACGAAGCCAGAACACGTTGGCTACAGTACTACACAGAAAGCCACCCACAGCTACTACCCACAACACAACACAATCCCCCAGTAGCCGTAGAAAACCTCTACAACGAGAACAACTTTGAAGAATTTGCGGCAAACGGCGACCCGATACCACCTCCCACACCACAGATACTCCCAGCCGCACCTGCTCCATCCCCTATCCCACCACCACGCACCATGTCTAACGCTGCAGCCTCCAAACCCACGATAATCGGGAAAATCAATGACTTCGATGGAACCCCAGATAAAGCCCAAAGGTGGATATCGTCCACCAATCTACACTTTGATATCAACGACACCATCTACAACTCCAACAAGAAAAAGGTATATGTAGCCCTCAGCTACATGAAGGATGGCAACACCGCCTCATAGAGCGAAGCCAAGATGACCGAATACAAAGACAAGAACACCTATCCCACATGGGCAGACTTCATAAAAACCTTCACAGCCAGTTTCAGAATGGCAAACGTCAAAGGAACGGCCTCGGCCGCCTTGATGAAAATGAAGATGGAACAAGGAGAAAATGCAGTAGCGTTTAACTCAAGATTCATGCTAGATGCTGGGAAGAGCGGCATCAACAACAAAGCCATGATCATGGTTTATCAAAAGGCTATCCGACCACCCCTCCTTCGCGGGGCACTCACCGGAAAAGAACTACTCACCATCAAAGACTTAATGAGCACAGTGGCAAACCTAGATGCCAACTGGATCAGTGCCAACGCTATCTCAGAAGGAGTATGGGGTGCCAGAAACAAAGAATGACAGAATGACAGAAACTGCAAAAGTGGACCATCCACTAGCACCAGAAGATTAACTAAAGATGAAGAAGAATCAAGGAGGAAAGAGGGAAAGTGCTTCATATGACACATAGGAAGGAATTGTAGGAACAAGGGAAAAACTCCCGAAAGAAAGGTACGTCAAACCGAAACGGAAGATGACACCAAAACAGTGGTGGAAGAAGACAGGGTCCCAAACATCATGAGAATGTGGAGGGAGTTAGGAGAAGATTAAAGAACAGAGGTGATGAAAGAATTAGAAGGCGAGGGTTTTTGAAACAATGGACTACCCCAATGTTAGTACCATTGAAAATGGCAACTGTAACAATAGCAACGATCAATGCCAACTCTTTATGAATCAATTGCTCATTGAAACAGAAAACCATCAGAACCAAAGCCCTGATAGATTCAGGAGCTACCGACAACTTCATGGACACAAAATTCACCATCAGACACCGACTCCCCCTCCAAAAACTCCCAACTCCTATAACTTGTAAAAATGTTGTCGGAACCACGAACAAAAACGGAAAATTAGGCATTACACCTATCAGAGGATAGATGCAGGAGGACAAAATAGGTTTACAAAGTTCCTATTGACCGGAGAAGACGTATTACTGGGATTTCCATGGTTACAAAAAGTCAATCCTGTCATTAACTGGAAAGACAAAGAATTACCAAACTCGGACAAACACTCCATCAGGATGAACCAAACAACCACGGAAACAAAAATCAGGACAACCACAGTAAACGAGGACGTGTACGAAACTATTCATAGATACGTATCCGACCAAACACCCTATCCTTGAACCACAATTTAATTAAAGGTCAACTCGGCAATGGAACACGCGCAAATACACGGAGAAAAGAAGGAGCATATCCTCCTGGATGAATATAAAGGGTATTCAGACATTTTTGACAAAAAGAAGTCGGAAAGACTCCCCAAGCGACGGGAATATGATCATGTAATCAACATAAAACCAGAATTTGTACGAAAAGATTGCAAGTTGTACCCATTGGCACCAAAGGAAGACGAAGTGTTAACATAATTTTTAACGGAAAACTACAGAAAGGGATACATCAGGCCAAGCAAGTCGCCACGGGTGTCCCCCTTCTTCTTCATCAACAAAAAGGATGGATCACTCCGACCGTGCCAAGATTACAGAAAACTGAACGCATATACCGTGAAAGACCCCTATCCACTACCCCTGATACCCGACCTCATCGAAAAATTGAAAGGAGCCACCATCTTTATGAAACTACATCTACGTTGGGGATACAACAACGTAAGGATAAAAGAAGGAGATGAATGGAAAGCTGCATTTAAAACCAGCAAAGGAGTGTTCGAACCAACAGTCATGTTTTTCGGCATGTGCAATTCACCGGCAACATTCCAAAGGCTGATGAACAACAAATTCAAAGACTACATCAATGAAGGTTGTATGATCATATACATGGATGACATCCTCATCTTCGACGCCAATATCGAAAGGCTGCGGATCCGGACAAAGCAAGTTCTACAAAGACTGCAATAACAACCTATTCCTCAAACTGGAAAATGCACCTTTGAGGTAGAAACCATTGAATACTTGGGAATGATTGTTTCCCACAACCACGTATCCATGGACCAAGCCAAACTGGCTGGGATCCGCGATTGGCCAATCCCAAAAGACACCAAAGGCGTAAGGAAGTTCTTAGGTTACGGAAACTTCTACAGGAAGTTTATCGGTCATTACTCTGACCTTGCCAGACCCTTGAATGCCTTACTAGAAAAGGATAAGAAGTGGAACTGGACCCAAACTGAAGACAACACTTTCAAATTGATGAAACAAAAATTCCTTGAATCCCCCGTAACACAAATTCCCGACTCCTCAAAACCATCAAAGATGCTGCAGACACCAGCAAACACGCCACAGGAGCTGTATTAATGCAACCCAATGACCAAGGACAATGGCACCCATGTGTATTTTTCTCCAAAACTCTATCCCCCGCTGAAAAGAACTACCAGATCTACGACAAAGAGTTATTAGCGGTAATGAGAGCTTTAAAAGAGTGGAAACACTTACTTTTGGGAAGCCCCCACATGATCCAAATCCTGACGGATCACAAGAACCTGATGTACTGGCAAGAAGCCAGAAAACTCACACCGCAACAAAGAAGATGGCAGCTGGAACTGTCACAATACAATTATACCTTGGAGCACGTACCAGGAACCCACATGGTGGTACCCAACGCACTCTCAAGAAGACCTGATTTATACGTCGAAACAGAAGGAGATGACAATGACACACCAATGATACCCGCCTCAGCGTTCCTGTATCACACACAAACAATTAAAAACACAATTGAGCAAGCCATGCTCACAAACAATAATTATCCAGGAAGAACAAAGAAAGACAATTGGAGAAAAGAAGAAGGACATTTCTTTTATCAGAATAAATTACTGATTGATGAAGTAGAAGAACAAAAGACGATCATCAAAGATCACCACGATTCCCTGTCCACAGGACACCCAGGAAGGCTCAAAACCTACCAGTTGATCAAAAAAGCCTATTGGTGGCCAGGAATGATGAAACAAGTGGAAGAATACGTGAAAGGATGCGCAACTTGTTAACAAGCAAAAGTAAACACGCATCCCACCACCGTACCATTAATCCCAAACCAGACCCCAAAAACCACAGAACCGATGAAGTACCTATCTGTAGACTTCATAACAGATTTACCAGAATCTTCAGGGTACAACAGTATAATGGTCGTGGTAGACCAAGGACCCGAGGAATCCCGACTAAACACAGATCCACGAATATCCCATCAGTGGAAAAACGATTATCCGAACTGCTTAGGGCAAGGGAAAACACCCTAAAAGCACACGAACTCACGAGAAGCAAGATGATAAAATGAAACAACGGAAAGTTCACGTGATTCTCCGAAGGACAAAAGGTGTGGTTAGACAACACCAACCTGCGAGAAAAAGCTACCAAATACAAGAAGTTTAACATGAAACGCATCAGACCTTTTTGCATCCAAGAAAATATTTCCCCGGTAAACTACCGGCTATCCCTGCCTCCCCATTGGAGGATACACAACATTTTCCACACATCCCTTCTCACCCCGTATATGGAGACCAATACTCACGGCCCGAACTTTATCCGACCACCACCTGACCTTATCAACGAAGAAGAAGAATACAAAGTAGAAAGTATTCTTAAACACAAACACTGGAAACGCGGGCGCCGCTACCCGATCAAATGGCGCCATTACCCTCATTCTGAAAACTCATGGGAACCGGAAGAACACTTAACCAATGCTGCGGAGATACTGAAAGCCTATAAGAAGGACCACAAACTGCGTTGAAAAGGACAACCACACCCACTTCCACCAGTCCTCTAAGCCCGTAAAACGCAAACATGTCCACTTCTAACTCCACTGGCTTCCCTATCACCACCTACTCGATACCCGGCGACGCCAACTTGCTAGCTGACGAACGAGTGTCTTTTACCCGTGGGCAATGACACAACCAAGCCAACGTCACTGACACCATAGAGTTAATGTCAGCAAAAGATGCCTATACCTATCTCTTTTACAAGACCGAAAAACGCTGCCCCCATGCGTATCACGCTCTTTCTTCCATGCATACCTTCCTTGCCATAGACCTCGTAGCTGATGAACTCCTAAAAGCCATAGGCTCAATACATTCATTGGAAAACGAGCATTTGCAGCTCAACAGTCAGGACTCGAGTATCTGTTGGGCACTCCGGATGGAAAAGTTAGTTTTGGAATCTTTGAAACAACGCTTGAGGATGAGCTCCTCGAATGGGCAGACAGATGCGGCAAGGGAATATTTGGAATCAGGCGGGAGGATATTGCTAAACAAAGCTCGCACACGGATAGAGCAAGATGGTTGCACGAGTACTCCTCCACCTGGTTTGTCCCGCCAGTCCCTATCATACCCCAAGCAGACCAGTGCTACCCTGGAGCCCACTTACCACATCGTCATCCGACAACCTCCATCCACCCCGTCAGCGGAGGAACCCATTCCCACCGACCCAACCAGCCCGATCTCACAAGGGTTGAACCCCTCCAGTCCCCGTTCCATTGGGTTGAACCCAAAACTGCCGACGTCCCAGTCACCTCCTCCTCAACCAGTGCCAAACAGCCTAACCCGTCGTCATCTGATGAACCCGACACAGCCGACAAGAAGTGATACTCCAGATCCCCACCACAAGAACTCCATCAAAACGGCAGTCTCGTACATCTGGGAGTCTGAAAGACAGTCCACTTGGCACAATGCACAGGCCTGAGCCTGGATTGCCTTCCAACCCAATTGTTGTAGACAACGATGCAGCCATGATCGATCAGTTGTACGCAGGAACGTACAACCTGGGAGATAACGATCCAACCACTCCCCAATCCGACACCTCTTCCAACACCCGACGAAAATACCATGAAGGCATTCGTAACAACACTCCATACTGCCAAAACTGCAGCTGGAGCGATCATCACACATATTACTGTGAAGCCTACTATTGCCCCAACTGTGACCGTCGTGCACCGGGACATAGTCTCAATTGGTGTCCCATCCGTAGGGAGGACGAGGATAGGATTCTGATGGAAGGACTACATGGAAACGTTAGCTACGACGACAGTTACAATATCGACGGCAAAGGTACCGAGTTTCGGTGAAACTCAGAGCAAGTAAGGGGGTAATGTTACGATTTCTATTGGACATTTAAGGACTACTCATTTCTCTTTACTCATCGGTTATACCATCAGACCGATGACTCGTTTCCTTCACATACACTCCCGTTCTTCTCGTATTTGTATTATCTATTATAGTACTTAGTCCTCAATGGACGGACCTGCCCTAGATAGGACCTAAGTCCTATCACTGATTCTTTCCATTATAAATACACATGTAACAGTAGTAGTATTCTCTAATACAATTTTATGCAGTTTACGCTTACAAAGCTAGACTCCTAAGATCAGACTTCTACTCAGAAGAAGACAAACTCTTGTTGGAAGAACTCAACTCAGAACTACATTCTTGAACTTGTCTTCGGATAAGTCTCCCTTGAAACCTCAACGAACCCTCAGACTTTGTTAAACACTTTGTGCGTAACAGTCCGAGAATGTGCCAGAAAATCCATAGTTAAAAAATTTGAACTGAATATTGAGTGTGCTTGTGAGTTTTTGAAACTGTTCTCATTTTTGTTGTAAGGCTCTGCTGACTGAAATGACATATTAGTAATTTATTAAAGGGTCTATAAAATTAGAGCAACTTTCATGCAGGTTTAAGGTTCAGGTTACAAAAGTGATTAAAGTGAATCAATTGGGATGTCTATGATATATCCTAACTTAGTGCAATGGACATCTCAACCCAGCACAGTCACATGATAGATGATTTCTTACACCTTTAAATGTAGTAAATTGTGAGCTACTTGTTTCCCACTACTTTTTGGGTGCAATTAAACATCCTCTCAAACAACCAATCAATAAAATTAAGGTTACACAACTCCATCTCTTTTTTTAGGGCCCCTGACAATCTAATTTATCTTTTCAGGCTATCTGTAAGTCTAGAGATTAAGCAGTTGGTATGATCTCCTTGCAAGCCCACTTCTGTATACCAGAGCACCACACCTTATAATCAACCAAGGACATTGATTTTCACCAAGGCTACTGTGAAATTTTCAGAAAAAGCTTGAGAATATGGTCATGGCATTATTAAGCCCTGTTCTTTAGTCTTTTGTAAAATAACAAGTGAGCTTTTCATGTTATTGACTGGTCAGGCTTGTGTGGGATATATGATCTGAAAATTTTCTAGACTTTATTATCTTCATTTTGATCCTAGATACTAGACTTGCATACAATCTTTATAGTACGAGTTTTTCAGTTTTAACTGTGGGAAACTCTTTCCTATTCTAGACACAAACCTTCCGAATTTTCCCTTCTACTTTTATGCTTGGTTATGGGACTTTGACACCTCAGTCTTTTTGTTACTAGACACTGGGGCAAAATCTCATGTTTTATAATAAAACATATTGGAAATTTTTTGTTCAATATTCTTCCAATGTTTTCCTAAGAAACACTGGGAAAAATATACAAAATATATTTCTGTAAAACATTGGTAATCAATAGTATATCTACACTGAGTGGAAAGATGTTTTGTGACAATACATTTTGGATGTTTTTCCTAATATTTCATGTGAAAATATTGAAAAAACAGTGAGCAAAATATCTCCAATGTTGACTTATTCTTTCAGTGAGAATATAACTCCAATAGCTTGAATGTCTAATATTTCTGCTGAGCTTTTCCTATATGTTTCATCCTCAAACAAAAGGTTGGTGCAACTTTGATTTTTGTCATATTTCAACTGTTATGACAGTATTTTCAGCATCTATTTTTACTTTTATTTTCCTTTTCATTTATTTTTGGACTTTTTACTTCTGAAAGTCATGTGACTGATCATGTGGCACATCACCTGACCAATGTCTAGACCCAGCATGTGACCAGTCACATGCTATGACATCAGACACTTTACTTGCTCATTGGTATGTCATATCTGTGCCACAGGCTAGGAAACCCAAACCTCAGTCAGAAACCCCCAAGTCTGAACTCCCAAATATTTGGTTATCCCGGAATTATGCTCCTCGTGCTCTGCTGCTTGGCATAGTCCTGTACCTTGCTCCTATGCAGTACTCCAGATACTCACTTTGATTCTCCTGCCCCAAACTTTCAGTTTGCCATACATTTTCTCTGCACATTTTTATGTTTCCTTATGGACTCTGTAGTTGTACCTTGTGGTACACTCCTCTCACATACAATCACTCCTCGCTAGATAGTTGTCCGCATGGAACTCCATACCTACATTACAGGTTACTCCTTACAAACTCCACTCCCTCCAATTTTTATATAAGCTGTAACTCCTGTACTCTGTTCCTGGAGTTCAAATATCAATAAGTTCCCCCACCTATTTACCCAAGTCCGTTCCTAAGCTTTCTGGTCCTTCTCTGAAGAGCTTTTACTCCACTTTACTTTTATCCTCCATTTTCCCCTCATTTACAGAGTATAACAACCTTGGGGTATTGTCACATCAACTATTGATTCACTTATCCAAAATAATTTCCCAAATATTTTATGGGATATTTGAGCCCACTACATGAGGCATTTAAGGCCTATTATGTGGAACATCTCACTCCACTACATATGATATCCCAGGTGCTTTATTGAATGTCCAAACCCACTACAATATCCCAGCACTAAGGGAGAGCAGTATTTATAAGTGAAGATCAATTGTGAACTGTCATCATGTAACATGCAACAACCCCAATAATAAGCCTTATAACCTGCCTCAGCGGATATTTATTAATTTATATGCAGGTGGGCCCTCCACATAGTTTTTAGGTATGCCAGATTAAGAATACTTTACCCACTTTATCCAGCATTTCTGAGATTCAGAAGAGAAATATTGGTAATGAGTGGACTGACAATAAAAGCCATCATATTCTTACAGTATTTACAAATTTAAAAGTCTTTTGTCAATGAGGATCAGATGCCTTGAATTTTTAGGGCATTATATATTGAAATTCAGGCTTTATAAAGCATTATTTTCATTTGTAGCACACTTGAACAACAAATTCTCCCAACACAATAGCAAAGTACAAGAATAAATATAAAAGGACACATACAAAGGACACATGGGCTAGAATTAACAGGACCTATGCAAGTGTAATGCACCAGATCCACCCACCATTGCCAACTGTTATTTTTCCAGTGTTAAATATAGAGACTGTCTTTTAGCAATGCTGTGTGTGACACGTTCTCACAGTTCCTTGAGGTAAAAGCTTACACATCTGTCACAGTAAGACCATAAAGAATGGGACAGAAATTAATCAACCTAAGTGAAACTACAATAAATGTCAGTTTAAGGTAATCTTCTATAAAATGTAATATAACATACCTCAGCCGCTACCCAAGAGGCGATAGAAACAACTGAGGTATTCCTACACTAAGCCCCCTACTACTGTAGTCGGAGGTGCTATTTGCTAAGGTATAATGACTCCTAGGAGAACAATGGGTGACTCCCAGACTCCAAACCAGTCAACATATGTGTGTATGCTATATTGGAGTGCTTGTGATTAGATAATTTGACTATATAATTATCCGAGACTTTACCAAAACTTGAGTTGAGCATAACACATATGGCCAACTGGCAAAGCTTGGTGCCAGATTTTGGTTTATCTGAACCACCAAAAATTGCCACCAAATCCGACGTCTTTCTGTCAGCTAAAGTCAAAAACAGAAATGTGACCGTGACTTTTTCTTTTCTTGGACAGAAGAGTAGTACACTTAAACACAATGTTCCAATGATGTATCAATGTTTCTTCTTCAACTGCATCTGGGATGATAGGACTTGAAAATGGCATGAGTGATGCCAAACCCTTTTTCATGAAACTGCTAATTTCATTGGAACTTGGTGTTTTGAAGCGTTCAGACTACATAAAAATAAGCTCTGTGCAAGGAAAGACAAAGTCACCGTCAAATTTCTGTTTTTGACTTTAGCCGACCGAAAGATGTCGGATTTGGTGGCAATCTTTGGTGGTTCAGATAAACCAAAATCTGGCACCAAGCTTTGCCAGTTGGCCATATGTGTCACGACTTGAACCAGAAGTGCTAGTCTGAGCGCTAGTTTCCTTTTTCATTTTTCTTTGATATCTGATCACATGACAGATAAGATATGTTAAGCTGCTGCTTTAGCGCGGATAACATAATATGTAGTTATATCAGATCAGGTGACCATCACGTGACACAAGTCTAGAGCCATTACAAAGAACATCAGTCAGCGCCTCATGGCTGGCTTTCAGAAACATATATATAGTAGACCATCATGTACATACTTTCCTCAGTTGTTGATTAATTCTCA